GCGCCCCCCGCGCCCAGGCCGCGGCTCTCCGTGCTCTTGGGGAAGGGCTTGATGACGGCCGTTTGGTTGGGGTTCTCCTTCTTGTTGATGTGGATGGACAGCCGCTGCCACAGGTGCTGCCCCCGGCTGCTCTTCTCGTTCTGAGCCCACGTGACGGATTTCCCATTGGAGCTGCGGAGAGAAGAGAGACACGAGGTGACTCAGCATGGCCCCGGGAGGGGTTCCCCGGTGTTAGATGGTTATGGGACTCGGAATGGGAAGGACTTGTCTTATTTATTTTTTTGGTTGGTGAGGAAGATCGGCCCTGAGCTAAAATCCCTTGCCAATCTTCCTTTTTTTGCTGAGGAAGATTAGCCCTGAACTAACATCCGTGCCCATCTTATGCTTTGTATCTAGGATGCCGCCACAGCATGGCTTGATGAGCTGTGCGTAGGTCTGCGCCTAGGATTCGAACCTCAAAACCCTGGGCAGTGGAAGCAAAGCGCGCCAACTTAACCAGTGCCACCAGGCGGGTCTCAAAAAAGACACCACGGAAAGAGACCTTGGAAGTGGCTTTTGTTTGCTTGTTTTAAGTTAAAGGCTGCTTTGTTTTATCTGGCCTTCTGTTTATCCTTAACCACGAAAGTGTGTCCAAGAGGATATTAGTAAGAGTAGAGTGTTTATGGGGATTCTGCAGTAGTTCTGAGCCCATCCATGAGTGCAACAGCTGGTTATGCTGCAAAAGTAGAAGCGGGGGCTTGTAGTGCTGTGGTGGTGCGCTGTGGTGGTGCGCAGAAGTGCATGGTACAGGGCAAGTGCTTCCTCAAGTTGGCAGGTTTCTAAAGGAAATAGAATTAGGACCTCAACTCACCAACCCAGTCATTAAAGGGGAGGGAGGGGGTAAGAGAGTCAAGGGTTACCAGGACGTAGACAGTGGTTCCAGTTCCATTGTTACTCTGCAGGCCAATGATTGGTGTATTTAATTAGGGATTTCTGTCTGAACTCCTGACTTTGAACATGGTTTTACTTACTCTGGCTTATATGCTGGAAAATACAAATTCAGTGAACACATATACGAATTTTCTAATTAGTTAGAACTCCTCTACTTCACAGAAATTCTCCTCACAAATTTATTTATTTTTATTTTTTATTTTTTTTTGTGAGAAAGATCAGCCCCGAGCTAACATCCATGCCAATCCTCTTTTTGCCGAGGAAGACCGGCTCTGAGCCAACATCTATTGCCAATCCTTCTTTTTTCCCCCAAAGCCCCAGTAGATAGTTGCATGTCACAGCTGCACTCCTTCTAGATGCTGTATGTGGGACGCAGGCCCAGCATGGCTGGAGAAGCGGTGCGTCGGTGCGTGCCCGGGATCCGACCCCGGGCTGCCAGTAGCGGAGCGCGCGCACTTAACCGCTAAGCCATGGGGCCGGCCCTCACAAATTTATTTTTAGGCCTAAAACTTGAATAACAATTCCATGAGGGAGTGTGCAGTATATTGCCTTTGGCACCCAGCACATTTTTCTCAAATTAGGGTCTTGATGGTTGTTGTGTGACTGACAAGAGTTCTCAGGGCCTTTCTTCTCCTTCCTTTTCCCAAACAGTCCTTTTTGTTCTCCATCCTGGGATCTGAAAACTGTTGTGCTGAAGATGGAATTTGTGTCTCAGCTTCAGAGCCTGACCGTACCCTCCTTGCCACTAAAAATGACTCAACAGCCTCTGAAACTACAGACCCTCTATTGGGAACTTGACTATGGTCAGAGGATGTGGCGTGACCTTCGTGGATGTTATGTGGAGAGATCATGGTATAATTTCCAATCATGCAGGAATCTGAGATCTCTGTAACTAGGGGGTCTGTTTTGTCCAGGCAGCTCTGTTCTAGGGGCTGTGATCAAGAGATAGCCTTGGGCAGTCTGTGAACAAAAAGGCTTTAGTGAACCCAATTGTATCATCTCAGCCAGTAGTTATTAAACTTAATTGTGCATAAGACTCATCTAGGGCATTTGTCAAATATCCCCCAGGCCTGACCCCAGTAGATTCTCATAGTCTGGATGGGGTTCCAAGGATCCATGCATTTTACAGGCACTCTGTCCTCCTGCTCCCCAAAGTGATTCTGTAGCAGCTGTTCCACAAACTGAGAAACTCTAACAGGAAGCTGTCCTTTCTCTCTGGGTTCCCATTGCTCCCTTGGCCCCCTTGCTGGAGGGCTAGCCTGCCTTGGCCAGGCAGGAGACTGAAGGGTGTTTGGACCTTACTTGTCTTGGGGCTGCCTGACTCCAACAGCCAGATCCACTCTGCCCGAGACACTCCCTTGATAACACACCTCTGTTTCTGCAGCCCCTATAACATGCTTCCTGCCCCTTTCCCATGCTGCCTCCCATTTCTTTATCTGTCCCTTTCTATTTTGTGGTCTTCTTTTCTCTGCTCCTTCCTCTGAAATCTCATTCCATTTTATCTACCCAATATATTGCAACCTGGTGTCCTTCCGAATACCGGAATGTGAGGTGTCCTCCACCCTGACCCCTTTTCCTGCAAAAGATGGACAAATTATTTCCAGGTTTGGCGGTTGCTGTGCATCCCCAGTAGTGGAAGGGGCTCTGCCAACCTCTTAACTTTCCTTTCCAGGAGAGTTTCAGGGTTTGTTTTTCTGTTTTGCATTAATGTAACCTGCCACCTTTTATGTTTTCAGTGCAGTACCTTTCTTCTTCCCAGGTGTCCACTAAGTTCTGGAACATGGCACAGAAGAATTGGGCCATATTACTTATGAGATTTAATGAGGAGGATGGTGGCCAACAACGTGCTTTCTCTCCTAACAGCAGGATAAGAAATAGGCATGTCAGGAGGGACAGTTAGTCTTCCAGGTCACTAAGGCCACTTTGAATACAAAGCATGGACTAGAAACTAGAGGCATAACTGGATTTGTTCTATCAAGCTTTACTCTAGGGAAGTTCTTGCTCCCAGTACAGAGAGGTTTTGATGGAACATAACTTTGGGCATTAACAGTGACAGTCTTTGGAATCATATGTAGCCGTGCCCAAAATATATGATAGCAGATTGAAAAACCTTTGGATAAATGAGTGAGAAGGAAACTATCCTCACCAACCAGTCTGTACAGAGTACTGACATTTTTCCTGGCCATGCCTTTGCTCACAGTGTCCATGGCCATAAGGGAGAGAGAACATCAGACCATTGGAATAACAACAGGCACAGGAGACACCAGAAAAACAGAGTCCAAATCTGGGCGCTTCATTTCAGTCCTTGGATCATGAAAGATTTTTTTCTACAAGGTAAATGGGAGCTCTTAAGAAAAAACCCGACTTAAGACGTTAGTCTGTTTATTAGTAGACTGTAGTTTCCATGAAGACAGGGACCTTATCTGTCTTGTTCATTGGCACACAGCAGGATCTTCATAAGCATTTGGTGGATGAATAGAATTCTTGAGCTAACAGGGCCACAGTGTGGGAAGCGCAATGGACAAAGAATCCTAAAGCCTTGGTTCTAATTCTGGATCTGCCATCCTGGATGCTTGGAAAATAGCAGTCTCTTTGAGCCTTGCTAAAAAGCAGACTGTATTTCATTTGGTGAATGAAGGCTGTTGTGAGGATTAAGTGAGACACTGTATGTGAAAGGGTCTGGTAAGGAGAAGGTGGCTAAAGATGTTAGTTTATGCATTCCATGTGAGTAGTACATTTAAGAAGATAAAAACAATATACTCAGTGCCATTTGAGGTCTGGTTTGAGGAACAGAGAATTCAGTGCAAAATAAAATATACAGTAAAGCCATAACATCTTTCTGGTTGTTCCTCCTTAACCTGACCAACTGTAATAAAAGTCGGAGTTCCATACGGTTTGATCTGAAGCCTGTCTGTTCTCACCCTAAACTCTCTCCTTGGGGAATCACATCTACTCCACTAAATCCCACATTATTCCTCTTCCACATCTTACTTCCTGAAATCTCTTTCATTGTGCTCCTTCCTCTCTGCCTTTTCCTTCCTTTTTTGCCTAAGCACTTCCTATAACTCTCTGTTGTATGTCCACCTCACGTCTTGGGTGGGGTGTTACGAAGGCACAGGCAGAGGATTTGTTGTTTCCTGTTATATCCACGGTACCCAGTGCATTGTCTAGAATATGGCAGGTGCTCAGTAATATTTTTGGGCTAATAATGGAGTGGATAAATGCAATTCATTTTAAAAAACTTATACTGAATTGATTTTCTGTTAGAATTGTTTTAAAAATAATTCACTATTAATGAAATTCTATTTCTTTTGTCTTATGAATCTATCTACTTTTCATTTAACTCACTGTAATCAATCAGTGTGTACAGATAAAAGATATTTCATTAACTAAATACAAAAACACAGATCTTGATATCTACCATGAAAATCACAAAGGAAGTATTTCTTCCTTTTTAATAATTCATATATATCTGTTTTAGTGAAACTTCTCAGTGATAAAAGCTTATTGAGGCAGTATGGGTGGTAGACCCAGAATGTGGGTCCAAGATCTGGCCCTGAGCGATGAGTGATATTGGGCAAGTCACTTAACAGCTTTGATCCTCTTTGCTTATTGGTAAAAAATGGAAGAAATAAACCTCCCCTGCCCTCCTCACATGATTTCTGGGAGGAACCAGAAGGCTAATACACCAAGGGTACTTTATAAAGCATAGCACCTCCGCAAGGGGTTATTTATCACTGCGAAACCTTCCATTCAATCAAGGTAAAATGTGGTTTATTATTACTTAGGCTAAGTTTTTTTTTTTTTTTTAAGCATCATGGTTATGCTTTTGTCCCAGGGGCCTGAGGTGGAAAAAAAAAGGAAAGGGAACTTCCTTACCTGCCTATAGCACTTCACCTTCCCCACTGCATATTTTGGCCATTAGGAAAGAAGGAGGAGGAAAGAGGAATGGAGGAGAGAGAGACACAACAAATGGTTTGCTACATCTGGAGGGAGGACAAACTGGCCAAAAATAAATAAATAAATAAACCAAAAAAAACTTCTTGCTCTTTCCAGGCACCAATTAACTTTTTTACCAAATATAATACTATGTGGTCTCACGTTCTCTCTTTGATCACAATTTGCTCTTTATTTCTGGAAGGAAAAAAAAAGCAGCATTTTGATAATGTTATTGGAGGGTTAGGTCTTTTATTTGTTTGTTGTTTACAGTTTGGGTCTGCCAAAATGACTCCTTCTACCTT